CCCATCATCTCCAGCACCTCCAGTACCACCAGCAGCACCAGCCCGACGGGCACGACAGCCAGATATCCCTGCTATATGGGAGGCAGTGCAGTCACTGCAGCGTCAGCAGGGATCTATGCAGAGGAGAGCTAGATACTCTCAGAGCAGACAGATGGCTTTTCAGGATTATATGAGTGCACAGATGGTCGAGCTATGTCGCCAGCAGGACAGACAGGCATCACCATTCGCATATCCAGCATATGCTGGATCTGATGAGGAGGCCCCAGGCCCGACCACTGCTGAGGATGCCACTGCTGCTGACACTGAGACGGCTGCTGAGGATGATACAGTCTGCATTGATGATGCCACTGCTGTTGAGGATGATACAGTCCGCATTGATGATGCCACTACTGCTGAGGCCGACCAGGAGGATGCAGGAGATGACGACACACCCACCACTGATATGGAGGAGGACTGATCCTCACATCAGTTTATCTGTTTTCAGACTTTTATTTTTTAATTATTATTTTGCTGTTTTTACTATTAGTCTAGTGCATGTAGACATGGAGGTATATTGAGACTGACCTGACATGACTGATATTGTTTTGGATAGATGACATGCTGACGTAGTTTCTTTATCTGTGACATGTGTGCAGAGTACATTATCATTTTTTTTCTGATATCTTGCTTAGGGTTCTTTTTAGATTTAAATTTATTGCTGAGGACAGCAAGATTTAAATCTGGGAATGGGTACCAACGCAATTTATCAGACCATAAACTTCACATGGTCGGAAGGAGAAACTCATGATTACACGGAGTACACAGAAATATCCAAATTACAAATGCAGTGTTTCAGGGGAGTTTCTTAATATTATTTTCATATTATAGTTCATTATTTTTATATTATTTAGTATTAGTTTATTTTAGAATTATTTTGATTTAGTATTAGTTTATTTTAAGGTCTTCATATATATTAGTTAGTTTAATATTTAAGTTTTTTTTATTAAGACCCCTTCCATCTTAGTCAATAAATAAATAATTAAGTGGATCTTAAGAGGTTTTCCATTGTGCTTGATATGGATGCATAATGAATAATTACATGAAATTGGTTGATAGTTGATATCAAGAGTATAAAGATGTAGATAAATTTTATTTTCGTACGTAAATGAGCGTCAGTCAAGCATGCTTCATAGTTCACTGGAATAAGAGAAGAATAACTAGAGTAATCAAAGAGAGAGTGGAAATAAGTCTCACATCCTTCGCCGTAAGCTTTTGAGCCTAAACAGAATTTTTTTTGTGGTGTGAACTTTACTGTTGAATCACTCTAGAACTTGTTTTGTTTCTCTTTGAAATGGTCTGTAGTATACAATTGTTGAAATGATAGAGGCAGTTCTTTTTAAAAGCTAGATAGCCAAATAGCCACCCTGAAGGTTTATTCTTAGATTAAGCCCTTTTGAGCCGAGGCCTGTTTGTTCATTGACAGTACATTTAGCCATTCCATACACATCCTCACCTGAACTGATTAATTTTCAAAATTAAATGAGGAACTGGATAGGATTGAAACAAAAAGAGAAAATCAAACTCTAAGTGTATGGGAGGAAAAGGTGAAAAGAGGGAAATTGCCACAAGGTGGTGGAAAAAGGAAATGAAAAGAAAAAGGTTGAACTGTTTATCTGTACAAAAACAGAAAAACAAAAACAAAAGGAAGAAGGAAAAGAAATAAAAGACTTATATTATATGAATAAGTGGAAGAAGAAAAGAGGAGGAAAATAAGAGAAATCTGTTTACTATATGTTGAACAGTTAAACTAGTTCCTCTTTGAAGTTGAATTTTGATCAGTTATCTTAAGCCACTTACCCAGATGATTCCTTCCCTTTTACCTAAAGCCACGTTACAACCTTAACAAAGACCTCTTGATTGACTTTGTATAGTAGTAAGACTGTGGAGAGTGAGAATATAAACAAGCTTATGGTAGTGTTAATTCAGTAAAGTAAGAGTGAAACACATACCCTTAAACACTGAGTGTGAGTGAATAAATAAAAATCCAGTGAGAGGGTGTTGTGGAAATTAAATTGTACTACTCTTTCTTTTGAGAACGCATGTTATGATTTTATGACTGGTGAATTATGGTTGTTTGCTTGAAATTGATGTGTCATTGATTTTTAATAAGTCTGAATACTTTGATATCTCATTATTGATCAGTTTTCTGCCTGATATTCATTAAGCATGACTAGCCGTCTTCAAACTTTCCCATAGTTTTATTCTAATTAATTGCTGAGGACAGCAATGTTCAAATCTGGGAATTGTTTGATAAACCTTTAGTTTATCTTATTTTATAGACTAAATTAATATAAAATATCAAGTTAAATAAGTCAAAAACTAGGGTTTAATATAATAATCATGAACATTATCTGAATTTTTGTTTAATGGAATCATCTTTGCTATTTTTTAGGGATTTGTTGACAAAAGGAGTCAAAGATGAAGATTGGATAAATAGAGATCACAACTAGAAAAGATGAGATCAAGAGATGATAGAAGAAGATCAAAAACAATAAGATTGAAGATCTTATCAAGTTGTTAGAAGTGGGAGCTTAAGCCCCCATTCAGAAGCTTAAGCTCCCTAAAAACGCAAATAGCTACTGCCTCTGGGCGCTTAAGCCCCCAACTCAGGGCTTAAGCGCGCCACAAGAAGAAAAAGTTGTCGCGAGGAGCGCGCTTAAGCGCCCTTCAGAGCGCTTCAGCGCGCAACGCGAATCAGAATTCACTGTCCTAGGGCGCTTAAGCGCGCTACAACAGGCTTAAGCGCCCAGACAGATCCAACTTAGGCCCATTCGAGTTTTCTACTAGGATACAAACTCTTGGCCAATAAAAGGGCCATTGGGGACCAGAAATACATAACTTTTACATTGCTAAACAACTCTTGGGTGCTCGGAGGCTGAAGGAACGCGGAGAAACATCAGATTCATGTTCGTGAGCGGCGGAGACGGATCAACGTCAAGTGTTCACTGGAGATATTGAAGATCCACCAATCACTTATGGAGTTTGGGGGAGCTTTTCTATTTTCTTTTGTTCTTGATTTTGCCATGTCCGGCTAGTTCTTTAAGTAGTTAGGGTTAGATGGATTTTAGTCGATTTATTATGCTTTGAATAATTCGTACGTTAATTTTCCTTTTTATCATGAATGAAGTTATCTGTTTTTAATGCTTTATATAGGCTTGAATCTTATATAATGATCATCGGTAAATGCATGACAATAGGGATGTTGGTGTGTGATCCATATCTGATAACTTCATCGTAAACGCTATGATTCTAGGGATAGACATAGAATTTGCGTAACCTTAAGATTCTTGAACTTAATGCTTGCATTCTTGGGGAATAACCGGGGAACTAGGGTTCTTTCAAGTTTGTAAAGGTTTTAGGGTAACAAGGGATTGAGCTCTAATAACACGCGAAAGAATTGGTTAGATTGATATTAAGGACGGTTAACGTAAAGAAGGACTTCGAATCATAATAAGGAGATTAAAGGAAATCGAACCCCTAGCTACGTTTTTATTTTATTAGTTAAATCACATCTTTAATTTCACGTTTTTAATTCTTGCGAGTAGTTAGCTTTGATATTTAATAATTTTAATTTTACAATCCAAATCCTGTTTCCAAATACACTTTGATTGTCCAACTTAAGTTTGCGATAGTGAATTGGTGCTTGAACCGTAATCCTCGTGGGAACGATCTCTTACTTAATCATATATTACTTGTACGATCGGTGCACTTGCCGTGAGTAAGACAATTTTGCTTTCTTTAACAATATTAAGTCTTTTTTTTTTGCAATGTTGAAAGTTTTTATGAATCGGACTAATTTGATTTGGGATTAAATCTTTCCATCCTTTCTAAAATTTATTACTTTCAAAAAGTGAATCCATTAATTTTTGGGTAGATTAAATTCTAAAATTTAATTTTATTGCCATTAAATCAATAACTCTTGAATATGTTCGGTCATTTTAGTACATAATAAAATGTCAACGAATATAAAATTACAATTATATTCCATGAAAAATGATGATAATTTTGTCGGATTGTTCATTTTCGACGGATTTCCCAACCGACAAAGTCCGTTGGAAATTTTGTCATGGGAAGGAATATCTTGACGGAACCAAAGTGTTTGTCGTACTTTTCCATGGCTAATTTTCCGTCAATTCATATCATTGGTCGTCGAAAGGAGGATGTGAGATCTGATGCATTTGCCAATCATGTATACAACGAAAATCCGTTAAAGATTGTCACTGTCATTGGTTACAGAATTCCATCAGTGATTTATGAATTTCTAGTGGTGCATAGTGATTTTCTTCATGTTGATTTAAAAATGAAAGAAACTCTCTCGTGAAAACAGAAATAAAAGAAAAAAAATGTATATATCTCGAGTGATAGATATTAAACTTTCGTAAACATTATGATTTAAAAATTAAAGTATTACTCACACTCTTTTTATTATATTTTTTCACCAATTCATTGATTAATTAATTAAATTTGTTGAGCTTGGTAGAACCACTTGAGTGATAAAATTCTACATGATTTTTCCCCTCTCTACCTGTTACAACTAAAAAATATATGAAAGTGTAAGCAAACCCTAGGGTTGGTTCAAATTGCAGTGCGAGCCCCAAGACAGATGAACTACCAAAAGAGTATTGGTTCAAATCTTGGAGAGAATTTATGGAGTTAGAGTTGAATAATTGTCACCCGAGCCAACTCAAGTATAATTTTATACATATGTGGCCCTTTTTTCCCACTTGAGTTGTGAAGGTATCCGAAGGATTTGACTCGCTCCAAAGGAATAATTAGGGTCTTAAAATTAAAAAAATTGGAAAGAAAATAATCAATGCTGATTTACTGAAGATTACGAGATTAAATTCAAACTGCATAAACCTTTTTTTTTTTTTGTTTAGTTTGACACAGTTGAAGACTTAACAAGAAAGCAAAAGATCAGTTTACCAAAAAACAAGAAAAAAGAAAAAAGAAAAAAGATGATGGCTGAATGGGAGAAGTTGAGAATATTAGGGAAGGGGTCCTCTGCTATTGTCTACATTGCTACCATGTTTGCTCCAGAGGAATGCATAGGAAATGTGGTGGTTGTGAAGAGTTCAATGCCTCACTCAATAGGTTCATTGATGAGAGAAGAAAATATAATGAGATCGTTGATTGGTTGTGTAGAATTCCTTCAATGCCATTTTGGCTAATTTACTATTGAGAAGGGTGAATTCATCTATAATCTTGTTATGGAATTTTCACCTTATGGGTCTCTCCTAGACTTAATTAGGAAGGGGCCACTGTTTGAGAGTGAGGCAAGAATCTACACCATTATGCTTCTTAAAGGGCTTTCTTGCATTCATCAAGCTGGAGTTGTTCATTGTGATTTAAAGCCCGATAACATTCTTCTCTTTTCTTCATCTAAGAACGATGCAAAGGATCAACTCAAGATTGCAGATTTTGGATTGTCCAAGACTAAAGAAGAGATTATCAATGCTGAGTATTGGAATTTCAGGTTTAGAGGGACACCATTATACATGTCACCAGAATCAGTTAAGGGTCAGATTGAAACATCATTGGATATTTGGTCTCTTGGATGTATAGTCATAGAGATGATCACTGGGTTATATGTATGGAGGAACCCTCCAACTTTAAAGAAGATGATTCCAACTACAAATGAGATGATGTACAAGCTTGCTGTCCTTGAAGAAGCACCAAAGATACCTAATGGAGTAAGTGAGGGTTGGAGAGATTTCTTAAACAAATGTTTCATCAAGAATCCTAGTCAGAGATGGACTGCTAGAAAGCTTCTCCACCATCTTTTTCTGTTTTCTCCATATGATTCTTTTAGAGGTCATGAAAGATTTCATATGATTCATTTTTCACTTATGATTGTAATTGGTTATCATTTAAGGCATAACTTTCTGTTTTTGTTGGGTAAGAGGATACTTTTAGGGTACAATTTCTGTTTGTGTACGGCTTTCTATTTTGTTCTTGATGACAGATAAAATTTTGAATGAAGAGAAGTATTATATGTGTTAATTTTTTTGTTTTTGTTCAGTTATTGGTTGACGATTGGTTCTGCATGTGTCACGTTGTTATTTCCTGTTCTGTTAATTGAATTCATGCTACGGCCACACAGAAGAATAAATAATGTAGCAAATAACAAACAAATGTATACACAAGGGAAAGATGGTAGTTGATGCTTGGGCTAAAATTAGAAATGTATAGTTTATCGAAAATATGAGAACAATCAAGTATTACATTTGTAAACATTACAAATGTCTTTCAAGGCGTGAAGTTGGGTAACAAGTATATGATCCTATTAGAAATACTGTAATTGTTGTTCATGAGGAATATACCAATCAACGTGCAACAATGTACAAGAGAATGGAATTGGATATCCAATGTATGGTTTGGTCCCTTATTGATTGTTAAGTTCGAACCTGTAAATATTCAATTACCTTCTTGATTTTAAGCCCTACTCCGCATGCCGAGGCTTTTTTATTCGACTTGGTCAGAGTCGTTTAAGTTAATGGAGGTGACTCTCACCTCTTTCCATTTGAGTCCAGCTTCGATTGTCGTGACTATTTAAATTTTAACTTGGCCAGAGTCAAATTTAGTTAAAGCTCGATTGTCGTGCCGTTGCAGGATGATAAATGTCAAGGTTGGTTGTCTTCAGTCACTCCCAAACGGTTGTGGCTTGTGGAAATTTCCAGACGGTGTTGTGGTTTCCAATTGGTGGAAGAGCTAGACTAATATAGCTTGTTTGATGCAGTTACTAGAGTTTTTTTGTGGTCTTTGTTAAAATTTAATTTTGGAAAATAAATGATCTTAATTTTTTTTATATATTCATAATTTTGCTATGGAATTTTTATGACATTCCGTCGCAAATTCAATAGTTGACTGCGACGGTATATATTATTTCGTCGCAAATTGCGACGAAATTTTTAAATATTCCGTCACAAAATGCGACGGTATTTTTAAATATTCTGTTGCAAATTTGCGGTGGTATTTTTTCTAAGTCGTTGCATATTTTTGAAGCATTTTTGCGACGGTATATTAGTTTTTTTTCTGTCGTTATCAGTTTACATGCAGGCCAATCTTTTGCAACAAAAAATGTTGTTTTGTGATGAAAAAATTCATCGCAATTTGCGACGGAAAATAATCAGCCAAAATGCTATTGTAAATTTTGTTTGCGACGAGGGTTTTTGCGACATCTTTTTTCCATCACAAATTCCATCACAAAGTGTATTTGCGACGGAAATTGCCAGTTTTGTGACGAAAAATGCCCGTCGCAAATAGGCTATTTTCTATTAATATATGGAGTTTCATGACCTAAAAAAATATTAACATATATGATAAATTCTGTTTGACTCTTTCCCATTGAGCATGATTAAAGTGAAACAATTAAAGGTGTATTCACTCTTGATTTAATTTAAAATATATCATTATTAACTTATCTTTATTTTTTTCAAGTAAAAGTTATTTTTATTTACTTACTTTAATACTAAGTTTACTTCAAAAGAATAATTTCTTTTTAAACAAAGATTATAACTTTCAACAAGCATATTGTTTTGGCATTTATTGCTTCGTGTTTATATGAACAATGCGAGGCATTTCTATGATTCCGTAGGTCTTATTATTTTATTATTTTTTCATATATATATATATATATATAGGGAGAATATTTTTATTATCAGAACTTTTTACTACTAACTTACTACCTATCTAATCACCATTGAATCAGAGAGAATGCTAAAAAATGTTTGAAAAAAGAAAAAATGTTGATCCAAGGATTATTAGATAGGTAGTGAGTTGGTAGTAGAAAATTTTAGTAGCAAAAATATCCCTTCTCATATATATATATATATATATATATATATATTTTTTTTTAAATTATAAGTTAAGTAATAAAAATTATTGATTAAGTAATAGAAATTAAAAATTAAGTAATAAAAATTAAAAATTAAGTAATAAAAATTTATTTTTGTTAATTATTATGAGTTTATTATTTTCGTTACTTAATTTATAGTATTTGGAAAATAGATGTATCATGTTCTAGAAAATTGGTTGTATCATGCTATAGACACAACCAATGTGGACCCCACCACTTTTAAATTTTTTTTTTTTTTGGTGATATTCACATTAGTTGTGTCTATAACATGACACAACCAAATTTTTACAACATGATATATCCATTTCCCATAGTATTTTACATAAAACTTATAAATTTTAAAAAATTATGCTATTTTTTTATTTACGAAGTAGACCCCTCAAATATTGGTACATTTGTCTTGATGTCAATGTATCTTTCTGTCAATAATGTGTGTGCATAATACAAAAACGTACACGACAGATTCCTGTTTCTCGCAATATCACTGCATGTGTCTTTTTTATCTTTTTTTGCAATTTGGGCAATGATATTGCGGTAGGATCCTTTGATACCGGTGTCAAATTTTAATTTTGACATCTCATCTGAGAGTCATTAGATCAAAAAAGATCAACGACTCTGATTTGCAAGCATGTGACACCATTGATCTTTTTTGATCTAACGGCTCTCAGATGAGGTGTCAAAAGATCCCACTTCTTGCAATAAAGAGAGAGCATCATGCCAATTTTAAGCGTAGTCTTGTCACCAATATTGGCATTTACCCAGCAAAAAAAATTTCCTCATGAAAATATGTTAGTACACGGTCATTGTACTTTTAAGTTAAAGTTAAGAAAAAAGTTTTAAAATAAAATTACAAGTTGTTTAATGATTATATAAATTTTTTAGTTTAAAAATTACTTATAAACTGTTGATTTAAAAAAAAAGCACATATTGTTTACCAAAAAAAAGAAAAAAAACATGTTGATACATCTTAAAATTTTTTTTTCCTAAGAGGAACTTTTGCTTTTTTTCTTTATTATAAAAAAATTGAGATAAGATATTATTATTACTAATTAGTGTTATTACTTATATCATTACTATTTTGTTCTACTGTTATATTCATTGTGTTAATCTAAGAGTTATATTTATTTTTATCTTTGTATGATTATGATTTCTCATATTTAATATAAAAGCATTAAATACGAAGAATCATAAGTAAAAATAAATATAAAATATTAGATACAGAGAGAAGAAAAAAAATTTAAAAAAATTAAATTATAAACTTTGGATCAACGTAATGATTAAATAAAATTGGCCGTGACAGTAGTAATCACAGTAATTGATATCCTATCTCAAAAAAAAAAAAAAAAAAAACAAACTAGCTTCTATAAAATCTTTTTGTTCGAGGAGATGAGAAGATTTGGCACTTCGTGACTTCAAAAGATTCGGTTCGTGTCTTCTTAATATGAAGCTTTTGGTTTCAGAATTGCACTGTAACATGTGACCAAACATAACACGCAATCTCTGTCTCTGTCTCTGGGTAACTAAGAAGTAGGATCTAAGAACATAAATGGAGAGAGAACACGAGAACGCAACTCTACAGTCTCCGTTGATTCAAGATGGATTCGTAGCTGACGTAAAGCAAAACGAATCATCAGGGGGAATAGAAAGAAGGGAAATTGTTGAAGAAGTGAAGAAGCAGTTATGGCTTTCAGGGCCTTTGATATCGGTGACCCTTTTGAATTTTTGTCTACAAGTTATATCTGTCATGTTTGTGGGGCATCTTGGCAACTTGGCTCTCTCCGGTGCTTCTATGGCCACTTCTTTTGCCTCTGTCACAGGTTTCAGTTTATTGGTCAGTTCTTATCTTTGATATCTTCTAATAATACCCTTATATTGGATTCCAAGTTTTGTGTTGGTTGGTTGTAAAAAGTATAGTTCTTTGCTAATGAGGGAGGGATACATTTTTGTAAAGAGGTGAAACTGTAACGTGTGTTTTTTCATTATAGATTACAATTTTTTATTTGGAAAAAAAAAAAAAAAAAAAAACATAGGGTGTCCTCATAACTAAATGCTTGTATGAGTTTTGGGTATGATTGTTATATATAAGGGCAAATATGCACAAAAGGTTTTATGAGACTTGCGAAGGTAGGGATAAGAGTCCACTGTAAGTAGATTTAAAATCTTATAATTTTTGCAAAGAGGCTATTTTCCAAACTTGAACCCATCACAATAAACAACCTTACCGCGCTCTAAGTTTGCACTAGCGTGATTATTATCTATATGAAAAAAAAAAAGTGATGCTTTGGCTTGTATGAGGTTAGACATGGCAGATAAAGTCAACATAATTAGTTCAAAATAAATTTGTTGATTGTTACCTATTGTCTATGGTTTACATTGCAAACTTATCTTTTCATGGAAATAATTGATAAGGAAGCTGGCAAAGTATAATGGAGTGTGCTCTGAGCTTTTTTTTTTTTTTTTTTTTTTTCTTTCTTGGGGGGGTTAAAACAGGTAGGAATGGCAAGTGCCTTGGACACCTTATGTGGACAGTCATATGGAGCAAAGCAGCACAGGATGTTAGGGATACACATGCAGAGAGCAATGTTCATTCTTATGATTGTTAGCATTCCACTTGCAATTATATGGATTAACACAAGGTCCATTCTGATTTTCCTTGGTCAAGACCCTGAAATATCTGCTGAAGCTGGCAAATATGCTCAGTTAATGGTTCCAAACCTTTTCGCCTATGGTCTTCTCCAGTGCCTCAACAGATTCTTGCAAACCCAAAATAATGTGTTTCCAATGATGTTCAGCTCCGGAGTGACTACTTTACTACATTTTCTTATATGTTGGCTTATGGTATACAAGTCTGGACTAGGAAGCCGAGGAGCTGCCATAGCAAATGCTATATCTTACTGGTTAAATGTTTCCATACTCTCACTCTATGTCAAGTTTTCTCCTTCTTGTGCAAAAACTTGGACAGGTTTTTCCAAAGAGGCACTTCATAATATTCCCTCATTTCTGAGGCTTGCCATTCCTTCAGCTTTAATGGTTTGGTAAATACATTCTCTTAATACTTTAATAGTACCTATTAATATAGTATATCAATATTTATTGTGTTGTTTCTTTTCTTAACATTACTCTTTCAATTTATTTTTCAGATCTTAATGATGTTTTATAATTTTTATTATCATGATTATGGTGAACAGCTTGGAAATGTGGTCATTTGAAATGATGGTTCTCCTTTCTGGTCTTCTTCCAAATCCTAAGTTGGAAACATCAGTGCTTTCTATCTGGTTGGTTTCATATTTGAGATGCTTTTCACATTTGTTAGTTGCTACACATAATCAATCAACTTTATTATCATTTTCATCAAACTATTGTCATTTACTTGGTTTTGTCAGCTTGAATACATCAGCACTTGTTTGGATGATCCCCTTTGGACTCAGTGGAGCTGTAAGGTTAGTATCTCTTATGAAGTTTCAGAATTCAGTGTCAATCTCACCGTTTTGCTTAAGGACACATTTGTCAAACATTCTGTTCTCTTTCTAGTTTTCTCTTTGAAAATTTTCTCTTGCTGAGTATGTATATAGCTCCATTATTGCTTGCATGATTCTTGCAGCACTCGTGTCTCAAATGAACTTGGAGCTGGTCATGCGTGTACTGCACGTTTAGCAGTATGTGTTGTCCTAGTAATTGCCATAATTGAGAGCATCGTAGTTGGAACGGTGATGATAGTAGTACGCAATATCTGGGGCTATGCGTATAGTAATGATGTAGAAGTGGTCAAATATGTGGCAACTATGTTACCAATTCTTGCAACATCCAACTTTCTGGATGGACTCCAATGTGTTCTTTCAGGTTTTCACTATTCCCCATTTCTTTCATTTATTGTCTGCATAGGAGGGTATGACTCAAAAGCTATGATAGAGACAATTTCGTGTATGAGAACATCCAATATATAATACTGTATAAGTATAACCTCTCTGTTACCATACAAAAGATGCTAATAGTGCTGCATGCTAAAAAATAATGTTATCAAATTTTAGTTAAATACTAATGAGGTCTTGTTATTCTGAGTCAATACCCGTAAGGCTGTTATATTTTTACAGATTAAGTGCTTACCGGAAGGATGGATGTAGATTGGTAGAAATTGTGAAAAATTGAAAATTATGTACTATTATAAGATTTTTCTAATTAGCATAAAATTAAGTAATAAGTAAGCAAAAAATTTTGAAGCAATATTTTGTAAGCAATGAAACAGGACAGGCAGGGGAAATGGAAATTGGAAAGTACCAATAAAAAATAAAGGAACTTGTATTCTATGATAATATTTTAATAAATTATAAAGTAACACTAATAAGTGTGTCTGCAGATTTCAGTCAAACAACTTTAAGAGTTGATTTTCTTTGGTTTTCATAGTGCATATTGCGTAAATATCTAAATGGCATACTGATAATTGAGACTTTAACAGGGTTAGATTGTTTTGTAGCCATTTTTCTTTAGGATCCACATTTCCATAAGCATGAATTAGATGATTTACTTTTTTAAACTTATTTATAAATATGAAAGAGAAGAAAGTCTTGAAGAGGAAAACTTACATTGGTGTTAAATTAATACTACAAAATCTTTGGTGTGTGATAGCTATTCAGTTAGTACAAATGATATTTTTTTCACTTTGTCTAAAATTATAATTCAGGCACTGCTAGAGGATGTGGTTGGCAGAAAATTGGTGCGTTTGTGAATCTGGGGTCGTACTATTTAGTTGGGATTCCATCAGCTATTGTATTAGCCTTTGTATTGCACATTGGTGGCAAGGTAAAAAATTAAAAAATCAAATTCATTCTTTGGTAGCGCCTTGTAACAAAAATTGCAATGATCTGATTTCTTTCTACCTGCTAAATACTGTATGTAGGGGCTTTGGCTGGGGATTATATGTGCACTTATTGTTCAAGTAATTTCTCTAATGATCATTACTATACGCACTGATTGGGAGCAAGAGGTGAACTTCAGCATTTTTTTTAATCCCTTTCTTTCTTTCATTTATGTGATGTTGGTTGCTGACATGCCTTTATTTTTATGACTCCTTATTCAGGCAAAGAAGGCTACAGATAGAGTCTATTGTTCAATAACACCAGAGAGCATAGTCTCATGAAGCTGCAATATCTTTGTAGATACACTTTCTGACTAAGTTCTATTTGGATGAAAGCAATACAAGCTTTGTCACAATTCTTCCAGTAGGAAAGTCTAGGCGCAAATGTGCATGGCCGAAAGGGTATTAACCTGATCTTTGATAATCTAAAGTAGTGTACAATATAGATGATGCAACTAGCAATTGGAACTGAAGAATATAGGTAGGGACATCTTTTAATGTTTTGTCCTCGGAAAAGATGAATGAAAAGAGTATGTTTGGAGTTTTGATGTGCTGTGTGTAAAAGGTTGCTGGATGTGAATTTGATCAAGTTACTGAAAACCTGAGACATTGAACTTTGTTTATAGCCTTAATAGATAGCAAGCTACCGAGGTGGACTCTACTTTAGAAAAGAATATAAATAAATAGTCAAATAATATCTAGAATGGACTTTGAGAGTCCTATAATAAAAACATATAATGCACTTGATCTTCTAAAAACTAGATTTTAGGAATCCAAATATGTTTTACCAACAAGCATTGGTTTGTATAGTAAGGAGTTTAAAAGGATTATGGTCCAACATAACTTGAATATTAGTTGAGATTTCTATGACAAATTGATTTTATTTTTATTTTTAATATCTAAATGCACTTAACTTGTTAGTATAAATTTTTTAAATAGTAAAGGTTTATCATTTCTCTCCCATGAGGGAGTGCATTGTAGATATAAAATCATTAATATAATCTCACTTAATGCTTTAAGGTTTTTGGTTTAAATGATTCTTTACATGGTATCTAAAGTGATCAAGTGGTTATGAGTTTGATCTTTGCATCCCTTTATTTTGTGGTGGAATTAAGTAAGCAGGTAAATACAATTTGGGTTTATGTAGCACAAGATAGACAAAAAAAAATGGATTTGTCCAATATCTATGCTTCAAACCCAAAAGACTCTTATGTAAAGGGGAATATTAGAAAGATATAAAATTATTAATGTAGCATCACTCAATGTCTTAAGGTTTTGGGTTGAATTGATTATTTAAATAAAATTATCTCTAGCAATCCCAAAATTATGTTATTTTAAGGTGGAGAAAATTAATTAATGATATTTTGGTAAAAGTTATATAATTAAAAAAATTATTAAAATATTCTTTATTAATTCTCTCAATTCTCAAAACGACGTAGTTTTTGGATTATTAGGATAATTTTATCTCCGGTGACAAAAGAATAATAATATCAAATAAAAAATATCAGAAATACTTTATGGAAAAAAAAATTAAAATGAATAAAAAAAAGGAGAAGAGCACAATAGAGTATTCATGCAAAGTCCAACGACAATGAGACATAGAGAGAGCAAATACGCAAAGGGAAGGTAGGAGAATATTCACAAGACTCGAGAGGGAAACTCGAAAAAAACGAATGCAGTGTTTGTATTGATATGCATATATAATAAATCAATTTTAACATAAATCATATACTACAAAAGAAAAATTAAAAAGAGGTTCGGAACGGAAAAAAAATATATATATGAAATAAAAAGTATTTATAACAGCAATCAATTAATGTCACCTAAATATAATCCAACTTACATGTTAGAAATATTAAGAGTCAATTATAAATATTAAAATAATTTTATTATAGTTATAATATTAAGACTCTTGATATTACCCATTAAATGTTATATGACCTCATTAATTATTGATGCATTTAATCTCAATCAATGATTTGGTATATATTGGATGTACCAGATTATAAGTTATGGAATATATATTAGAGATTGTGTCTTTCCCTTCAACCTCAATGTCATTCTTTCTATCATAATACATATCAAAGTAAAGAAGGTTTAGAGTGATAAACTACTTCCACACAATTGCTCACAAGATGATGACTGCTGTTAATTCTTCATCATCGTTTTCGGTATGTCTTTATCTCTTATGTGTATGTAAAAATCATGTATTCCCAAAATTTTTTATTATGTTCTTATTTTATGATTTATGAACATGATATATTATGCAAACTAACATGTGGTAACAGAGCCAGGTTTAGCAATTCATGTTTTTCCATGTATAATTGATCATATTCTTGATTTTTGAAAAGTTCGGATTTTTAAATTTTATGATTTTTCCTAAAGATTTTTTATATGATTCTATGAATTCATGTTTCTGAATGCAGGTCGATTTTTGCTAATTATCGTTTCTGGATCCAAATTTTGAATTGATTTTGCAATTCACAAAAAGACAAAATTGTGCCTATTACTTTGCAATTCACAATTTTATATATTGGATTCAATGGCTACTGTACATATATTCAAAAAAGTATATTTGAATGATTATAATAGAACAAATTACATGCATAGAATGGATACATTACTTTTGTGCAAGGCTTACACATGATCTTTTATATATATGTTTGGATTTTTGCTTTTATATATAATCGAATATATAAAGCTAATGTTTACAAAGGCAAGATAAATGTTTGTGGCTTAATGTTTATATACATATTATTATATATATAAAGTACTAATTTTGAAATGTATTTTTGATTGGGTTAAAATTAAATGTTAAATTTTAATCCTATAATTGTTTAATATATATATATATATATATATATATATATATATATATATATATATATATATATATATATATATGCATTATTTATATTATGAATAATGCAGTATGTATAATGACATGATTTCCATTGTGATTGAATGAATTTTTTTACATCGTTTATGTTTATAAAAAATAATTGCAATATATATATATATATATATATATATATATATATATATATATCTGAAGTATGGATTGTATTGTCGTATATATACTTATTGTTAATTTTATTGATGCATTATATTGTGATTATGATATGAGATTGATATGTTAAGTTATTTTCTCACATTATGTCATGGTTTGTTAGTCACCAAAGTGGCCAAACTAAAAGGTGTAGATAACATAAAAGACATTTATTTGTGTGCATTATGGTTATAGTTTGTTAGTCACCAAAGTGGCTGATCTGGATAAATATTATACAAATACAAGGCCCAAACTAAAATCCTTTACTACTAAGAAAGCTCATAGTCAATGAAGGTTGCACAACCCATCTCTCCAAGTTGCACAATAGTTAGACAACAAAGATATCTCTATAACAGCGAGCTCAAGACAGCCATCAAGCTGCATAATATTAAAGACCCCATGACAGTAAGCACCATGATATTAAAGACTCCATGACGTCAAGCTCCTCAACATTAAACATGGCAGCTCTATTACTTTACCTCCAAGACAAAGGAAACTTGATCACTAAGTAACATCTCCCCAAGCTGCTCATCTCTCCACTATAAATACATGTATAAACACTAAGGTACATCATCTTCTCCTACATAATTAAACCTGCTTGAACCATATCTGACTTGAACATCGGAGTGTCTTGCAAGTACACCCCCCATCGCGTTCCATAGAAGACCCATGGGATAAAGAGGCCCAACTGCAAGATGCTCTGACCCAAGACGGTTCCAAGCTGTGTAGAGGAATATCACATGATCGGCCCAGTTGTAAAGATTTGGTCTGATCATTGGTGCCGTCTGTGGGAAAGGTAAACTTTAATTCCCACCCCAAAAGGTACGCACCATCTGTGTAAACGTTAAATTCTTTGGCAGCAGTAGTTATTAAATTTTCCGCGATGATACCCTCCCTTTCCGCGATGATACCTGATGTGCCTCTCGCAAGTATGATTTTCTATGTTAAAATTGATAAGAATTGAGTCACAAAAGAGAAATTTAATTACATATTTGCTAATTATATTGATTATTTCTTGTCAATAATATTTCTCACGTATTGATTGTATTTTTACAGGAAAAAGAATTGAAAAATATAAAAAGCCTATTGATGCAATTCCACACAAAGGAAAGTTTCATGTTGCATCATGTCGCATAGTACAAATGCCAGAGAAATGGCGTGGACTGGCACCAAATTGGCTCAGACTCGCGCCAGATCGCGGAAACTACAGCGGAGAATTTCCAGCGGCGCATCATGGCACCAAAGTGGCGACAACTGGCGCCGGTCCACGCAATCGGGTCTGACTTTTCGTATTCGAGACAGTAACTCCGCGCGTATTTGCGGCAAACCCGCGCCAACTGGCGCCGGGTTGCGAGAAAATTACACCGTCTTTTCGCGGGGGTATTTTTGGAAGAAGGAAAAAATAAGTTTATAAATAGGATCCTTGTGCTAGACCTAAGGATATCGGATTCAGACCTATTTCTTCAGAAGGAGACCGACGGTAGAGCTCAGGAGGATTCTTCTACAGTTCTTCTTCTTCTCTTTTCTTCGTAATTTTATGCTTTGGAATATTGGATTATTTTTAGCCATGATTATGCTTGGCTAGTTTTCTTTTATTGTAGTTAGGGTCACGAGCCCTATGTGAACCCTAATAAAGAAAATAGAAAATACGCACAAGGTAGAGACAAAGATAATTATATAAATGAGTAAAACTAAATCAATCCATCGTAACAAGGGTTCACATAGGGCTCGTGACCCTAACTACAATAAAAGAAAACTAGCAAGCATAATTATGGCTAAAAATAATCCAATATTCCAAAGCATAAAATTACGAAGAAAAGAGAAGAAGAAGAACTGTAGAAGAATCCTCCTGAGCTCTGCCGTCGGTCTCCTTCTGAAGAAATAGGTCTGAATCCGATATCCCTAGGTCTAGCACAAGGATCCTATTTATAAACTTATTTTTTCCTTCTTCCAAAAATACCCCTGCGAAAAGACGGTGTAATTTTCTTGCAACCCGACGCCAGTTGGCGCGGGTTTGGCGCAAATACGCGCGGAGTTACTATCTCGAATACGAAAAGTCGGACCCGATTGCGTGGACCGGCGCCAGTTGTCGCCACTTTGGTGCTATGATGCGCCACTGGAAATTCTCCGCTGTAGTTTCCGTGATCTGGCGCGAGTCTGCGCCAATTTGGTGCCAGTCCGCGCCATTTCTCTGGCATTTGTACTATGCGACATGATGAATAAAGTATTCCCCAAAGTCACGTCAATGTGGTATACCTGCCGCAAATCTTTGAGTTTTACCCAATGTTATTTTTCTATATTTGATGACACTTGGTTATACATCATTCTTTTCCAAACGAAGTGGTAGGACTTCACTAAAGATAATCCATTAAATTGATGGCATGGATGGCGATTTGCTATGGGCACCCCTATTATGATCCATTATGGGTATGATGCAATATATTCTAAACAGCATGCGCGATGCTTATGAATTTTCACACGCTGAGGAAATAAATTTCCAGTATCTAGCTTTAAAACACGTCGCTGTCTTAGGTATCACTCATATGTTTATGG